ACTGATCATCCCAACCTGCAGACGAACTTTTGAACCTCAACCTCATTGCGAACTTCTTGTTACATAGGCACAGATCGTCTTTTCTCTATGAAGAAATCAGAGAGGAATTTAGATGTAACTACTGCTCTGATTGATTTTTAAGACTAATATCATAGTAACCAAATTAATATTCTGAAAACCCCGCTAGAGTCATTCATTGAACAGTGCTTTATTTCCTTGCTCTCTGACCCTATTTTAAGTTTAACTTTTATTCGGAACTCTTGTAATCAAGTCCTTTGTTTTCTGTCATTTACTCTTACTATTTAGTTTATCCGTTGCTTGTCCCCCAGTCACTGGAGTTTTTTATGTGTAAATTCAATCTCACTACGAGAATGATGTATTTAATATAATTAGGAAAGTAGTACCTAGCCGGCAATATCAAGACCCATGGTTTCGATACTGTTGCTGTGTTAGCCTTGATGGTATTTTACGAATTTTCAAAAAATGTTCAACATGCAGAGATAAATATTCTAAGATGGTGCACTTGTAGCCTTTGAATCGTTTTGTTAGAGTTCACCATTATTTCAATTTTTAAATAAGAGTAATGGAAATGACCGGATTTCAGCTGATAATTCTCAATGATTAAGTGCAAGGGTATTCTAGAAAGATTATCTACCTTTCGTTCCACATTCGAAGGTCACGTCTACAGGAAAATTTACCTTATCTAATTTGCTGTTCCATAGGAGCTATCAAACAAGATGATTTAAAGATGTTCGAATTTTACTGTAACTGATTCTGAGCAATCAATTCTGCGTTGTTTGGTACTCAAAATTATCTGTGAAGTTTTTAGTTTGAGAGACATTTTTGGGATCCTTATTTGGTTATGTAATAAAGTATCATCATACTTCATGACACTTAACGTCAACCCTGTGACACAACCTGACGCAGTTGGGTGCTTTCCGCAATGTGTGTCCTATCCAACCACCTGGCATTTTCCTGATGTCTATCTCTGTTGCGATCTGGTTTATTCTTTTACACAGTAGGTTGTTTATCATTTCTGACCGATGGATCCGAAGTGCTTTGTGTAGATGACTGATTAAAAACACCTGAACCTTATGGATGATGACAATCGTGGTCCTCCAAGTTCCCGTTTCATTCAGGAGATTTATCTTGATGTTTTGATTGAAAACTCTGAATCGGTGTTGGTTTTTTGCTGTTTTGAGTTCTATATGAGCCTCAACTGTAGGAATGCTACGCTTGCCTTGAAAATCCGTTTCTTCACACCTGCTTCAAACAGACCTTGCTCATGAATGATGCTGTCCAGGTATGTAGACGCTCCCATATCTTTCTAAGCTTCTGCATCAAGCGCGACTTGGTTGATGCATACTGCGCTGCATCGAAGGATCTTGTATTTTCCGTTGTATATGTTACACAAGGGAAAAAACCTACTGCTTTAGAAGCTCCTGCTACAGTGGCCGTCTTCATCCGCATCTGTTGGTGTGTGGGGCAGAAGAGCCAGATCATGTTTGAAGTCTATATGTATGATCCTTGATTGAAGGCTTTGTTTTTGAAAATCCCTTTATGTATAAATTTGTAATTTGTCCTTATTGATTCGCTAAATTGTACATTTTGTTAGTCTATTCGATTCCATTTGAGATGGTAGTATTTGTATTTTACTATAGTTTCTATTTTTTGCCTCCACTAAGTTTCTATGTTTCTTTCTGAACTGCATTTATGTTGTTTCAGCTGATACTTTTTCTTGGAAGCAAACATGTTTTCTTAGTCCTCCTTTGATTGTGTTGCTTGCATTGACTGGAATTGTGCATTTTGATTGTGAATTGAAGCACTCTTTCAGAATAGGAAGCACTCTGTGTTATAAAGCAACCAAATATTATCTTTCGAACGAATCAAATCTATCCAGAAAGGACAGAATAACATTCGTTTGTTGCAATTGACTGATTAATTGAAGAATTGTTGGTGGAATAACTGAGTAGTAATATTTGTTTAGGTAATGATGTACATTTATATTCATGATGAATATTAGAACCGACATTTACCAAATAACCTTGTTTTGGCTTCAAATGAGCAATAACGCTTATCTAAACTACCTAGACAGTTATCCTTCAGTCCAAACCTCAGTTTGGATTCTACATAGATCTTCCAGATGCATCCTAGCTGTCCACTGTATTTCATGCTTCCTCTCAAATGTTTATGTCTTCATAATGCAGCCAACTGCCAGAAGAAAGAGAGAGGGTGAGAGTAAGGACCTTGCTTAACACCAATCTTTACTTGGAACGGGTCTGTAAGCTGTCCTTCGCAGTTTAATCCATTATATGGATTCAGTATGATGTTGACTATCTTCTCGAGCTCACCGCAGTATCGAAGAAGCCTTCTTAATGTCATCCTGTCCACGTTGTCAGCTTCTCCATGAAGTGTGCTTTAGTTAGTGAGTGCTGAGCTTTATCGGAGAATATTGTTTCTGCCATGTGTATGCTGATGACCACTATTCCGGAGGCGATTGCTACACTGGCTGTCTTCATCTGCTTTTGTTGCTACATATATATCATAGATGAGCTAGATCGTCTACGAAGTCCAAGTCGTCTCTGCATAATAACTGTCTATTGTAACCCATTACTCATTGACCTAGTCCACCACCATGAGAAAGAGAGTGAGAGTAAGCAATGTTACCTGATACCGTTCTTTAATTCAGACGAGTCTGTGAACTGACTTCCATGCACGATTTCGTAGTTTAATCCATAATATTGATTCCGTATGATGTTTAATATCTTCTCTGGCACGCCATTAGACCAAAGAAGCCTTCGTAGTGTTGTCCTGTCTACGCTGTCGAATGCTTTCGCAAAGTCGAAGTTGACGTACAGTGGCGAATTCCTTTATGTTGATTGTCCTGCGATGGTCCTTAACAGTGCAGCTTGATCGTTACACGATTGATCCATACTAAATCCATACTGGATCTAATTGGGAGCCTTCATTCTGTTTAACGACACCCTGTTAATGACTTTTTCTGGTGTTGAGAGAAGAGTGATTCACCTGCTGTTCTCACTTAGCCGGAATGTTGTCTGATCCTGCTGTTTAGCCGCTCTTGATTTGTCTGATGACCATGCTGATCTCTTCCATAGCCGGGGGTCGAATATTGATTCGAACGTCCGTGAGTTCTGCTTCAGTGGGGCCGATAAATTCAAGAGTGCTTTAAGGTTCTCCACCCACCTTTTCTTCTGCCCCTTAATGTCGCTGATTACTCTGCCCTCAGTGTATTTCACTGCTCCTCCTGGTTTACGATAATTTACAGCGAGCTACCTTGTTGTATCGTACAGTTGTCTCATGTTTCCGTCTCTTGCAGCTTTTTTCTCTACCGTTGCTAGATCGTCTGCATGTTATAGTTTGTCAGCTCTGCTGCGCGATTCATTTCCTTGTTTGTTTCTTTATTCAGTCAGTGCTATAGCTTCCTCTGCTCTTGTTCGAATGATGTTGATTGCTGCCCTCTTGCTCCTCCTTCCTTGAATCTTTTCAAGGGTAACAACAGTGATTCACTCTTTGTGATGGTATTTCTTGGGGCCCAGAAACACATTGCGTGTAGAGTTTATCACTTCCATGATCCGTTTCCCGTTGTTCTCCACAGTAGTTTCCCTTAACTGAGTAAGGTTTTGAAAAGCTTGGGACGTCTTCATTGTAGTCATTTAACGTGCATAGCATTGGATGATGCTCATTGTAATGCCCCCTTTCTTTGTTTTGAAGGATGCTTTAATGATCCTGGGTCCATGAGATTTCAATGCTATCAGTGCTTTCCGTGCTTGTTTGGACAGCATCACTGCGACTCGTTGTGCATGTGGATCATTTTTTTCTTGGTGGTCAGAGTATAACAACAGTTCTGCTGAAGCTAGTTTTTGTTGTCGAACCTGCGTCGAATGTGTTTCACTGATTCTAAGCACCTCCAGATTGTATCTTCTCGTTTCTGCAGAAATTCGGAACGGTCTTTCGGTCTTTCACAGTGTTCGAACATTCCAAATACCTAAAGGAATGGTTACTGTGGTTGTGAGAGGGGGCATCGGCTTCACAACTTCCGAAGAAATTCGGCTATCATCATGAGACGTGATAACTGTCATGAAAGAAGACCTAACTACAAGGGCAGAGTTATAATGGTTTGAATCCTTTTTACTCGTCGGGGTTGCCAACCTCATGCATAACCCTTGTGCCGAAAAGTAACATCAGAAGGGCTGCAGTCAGAGTTTGATAAGTTTTCACCCAATAATTTTGGACGTTACGTTGAATGTTTGCGGGATATGTGTTTATTTAAAGCATGTAATATTGCCCAAATTCTATATATATATATATATATATATATATATATATATATATATATATATATATATATATATATATATAATCCAAACAATGTGTGCGAATAATAATAAGATCCTTATTATCACTGAATACGGATTTATTCTCTCTGCCTGTGATCAAGTAAAAACTAGGACCACTAGGAGCACCATCGTATTAAGTGGTAAGCAAGTTCAGAGCAAAACAGAAGCTGAAGGTGAATGAAAGATTTTAAAAACAATTTTATAGTTCAGAACAGTGATCGTTCAAATGAAGTGGAATTACTAATAGTAACAAGAACAAAAGAAGTTGTTTACAAAATAAGTTTACATTAAACACCACAGGTTTGTCTAGTAATACTAATTAGGTCAGCTCAATACTGAGAGGATCTGGATAATCCAGGTCTATTCCCAGTTGCATGCAGATCTATACCTTCAACAACAACTGGCTATTGAAGGGAGCAGAAGAGTTACTACCAGTTTTTCTCAGTTCACCATACTGAGAACCCTTCTTATAACGATAATTTGATCACGGTCCTTTCGAGTGTATGGATATCACGAACTTCCATCTCCAAAATTTGGACGAAGAGTTTTCTGAGTATTTGGAAGGCTTTTGGTAAGAAACTAAAGCTAGATTTCTTGTGTCCAGACGTCTACATTCCGAAAAGTATGTAAAAGAGAAGGAACAACTCACCAACCGTTGTTCAGTAAGATCATTCCAGATCGTTCCCACTTAAAGCCTAAACACGAGTTCAACTGAGTGCAGCTCTGTCTGCGTATACGGATAACCAAGTTCAAGGTCTCCACTGTTTAACCTTTTACCACGTCAATTTCACTTCGCCGGGTTAAACAAAGTTGTTGTCAAATTAGGCGTGCTAGACAGAACTCCTTTGCATAACGATAGTGAGTTTTTCGTTGCACAGTGTTGAAATTTTTTCTGTCAGATGAATCCTCTTTTGTACAGGCCACCACCCAATCCACATTTCCCAATGATGCCATATTTACCTGGCCCTTTACCACAGAGGCGTAAGTTCAGGTTTTGTTGGTGCTACGAAATTAGGTGATATTCAGGAAGAGGAAGATTTAGCCAGTGTCGCTTTGCAAGTCCAGAAAAAACGATTTTATGTCGATGTTAAGAAGAATAGGAGAGGGATATTCATGAAAATCGCTGAGGTTTGGTACACTTTAAACATGATGAGAAAGTAGGTCAGTTCCGACGGTCGAAAAGCCAGGATTCTTCTGACCCTGCAAGCTGCAGTAGAAATAAAAGACAAACTTAAGGATCTCATTGATGTCCTCGAAGAAATTAAGTCAAGTGAGGAGACCTCAGGTGCTCAAAACTCAGAGGAAAATAAAACGACGGATTTACAGCCCTCAAACAGCCTCATTAAGTCCCATATAGTCAACTATCCGTATAGACGTTACTTCCTTGACCTTAAACGCAACAAAAGGGGTCATTTTCTCCGCTTAACTATGCTGTCAACCCTGAACAGAATACAACTCGCTATTCCTTCACAGGGCATGTTAGATTTGTATAATGCTATCAATGATATGCTAGAAAAATGGTGGGATGGTTCAGAAGCAAATGATACTAAATGTATGTTCCGACCTTTTTCTCACTTTGATTTTATGCACAGCTGTAAATTTACCGGAGTCAAAGTCCCTAAGGTTTGACAATCGTACTCTATACTTTGACTCCTCGTTCAATCGGTTTGGAACTTACCTTCGTATTTCAGAAGTCCGGACAGCATCCAGAACTGCAATCACAATTCCCGGCCGTTCACTTTCACGCTTCAGAGATATCATCAATGGACTAGCAGAAGACTTGTCAAACGTTAAGGTAATTGATTAACGATTACTATCTGATTAAGCAGGTCACCAAAAATGCTGAAGATCAACCACCAAGTAACGAAGTTCCCAATACTCCTGAAAATTCTGAAACAAGTGAACCCCTTGTAAATGGCGAAGCTTCGTGAGTTTCGCAAAAGCAAACCTCATCTCTTGTATTTGACTTCGATGCCTTCAATGAGTAAATGCACAATTATTATAAATATCTTCTCTGGTCCATTTGTTATTTTTAATCGACTCTAAAATTAATTCAACACTAGATTGCATTCAGTACAGTTTCGTCACAGTGAGTTATAGGTTTGTTAGCATTAGTGGATATTACCCTGCTGCTGATTTACGAACGTACGATGTGGTACGTTGTAACTGACACTGAATTACCCTTACATGATTCCTTTTGAGGATTGGTAACAACTGAAAGTTTTGCTTTCATGTCAATGCCGACTAGTAGCTTACATTTAATAGGTCCAGTGTCTAGTGGCCTGTAATCCAGTAATATGCATTCCGGTGTAATTTCAACCCATTTGATGTGTTCATTGTTTAGACTAATCACATTGTTCATATCTATCTTAATGTTTAGCATACTCGTGTCTCCGGCTACTCATCCAATGAGCATCTGCGTGAAAACTGTGGTTATGTGAGCACGTTCTTGAAATAGTCACGTTTGTCCTGACGCTCCAAGTTTGTGTTGGACTACTCGGCTATTAGGTGGAAGTGAGTAGTGCAACAGGTTTTACTCACTCCTGATTTGTTCATTCAATTCAGCCCACATGACTTTTCGCAACAAATAACCAACCATCGGAACTCGTGAAGAATCTAAGCGTTCTAAATTATTGCACTGGTCATCTCAAATATGTCGGTGTATTTCAGTTTTATAATGGTAACGATACCACATGTTTTGCAGTAAAACGTTTTGCAACAAGACATTAAAAAATATTTTTCCTACACATGATATGCTTGTTTCATAACTGGCATATGTGGAGGTAGTGTTTTAGCTCGTGTTTCTGAATCTTGTTCTTGTAATAATGTATCAAAGACACCCCAAATACAGCTGTCCACGTACTCTTAAAAGGTGAAAGATTTGGTTCTAGTAATATTCTGAGGCCAATTCTGACATGAGTAACCAAACAGCATAAGTTCCGTATAGTTACGCTTCATTCAAATGTGCAATAGTTTTATTCGTTCTTGCTAAGTTTCACATTCATTCCTTCAGGTAAACTAATGATAAGGTGTTGGTACCTTTAATGGAATTCCCTTCCAGCTGACACTGGCTATCTGTTCAAGCTGACTACATATTCACAACATTCAATTTGAATCTCTTTGCTTAGTGAAACGAAGTTTATTTTTGGTTTTAGTGTCTCTTTCCGCTTGAAACTAAATGTATTCATAGATGCAATTTTCATTGAAAATAATGAAAGTTTAAACTTCAGGCCCATTTTTGACGTAAAGGTTGCTTCTATCTTTATTGTTCGATAAGCATTTCAGGTGTTCACAAAAAGCATACGAAAGCGACTCTTTCAAAAGCTATTCACTCTCGCTACATGTCACATTAGATTTCATGACTGAATTCCATCAGAAAAAGCAACCTCAAATGATGTTCATCAAGGTATCCTCCCCTTCCCCATTTATGTTTAATTTAGTAACAAGTTTTCGGAGATTACTCCGTCTGATTTAAATTTAATCCACTAATCTAATTAAACAATTTTCACTTATATCCAACGATGATACTTTAAAAATTTGGAATTATCTGAATTTCGTGAGTAATAGTCGAAAATCTCTTGAGAACTATTTTTCTTAAACGCGTAATCTGTTTCTTCGCGAATGGTTTGCTTCAGTCCCAGTCTGACAACATGGAGGGAGTTTGTGTAGCACACTGACCATGTCACTTATCTATAAAGTTTAATCATTAGTGGGAAGATAATTATCGACAAACTCACAACAGAGGGACAAAATATCCCATAGGATTTTAGCTATCTAGCACCGCTCATTAAGCACGTAAGTTATCCATTTTCATATCTTTTAGCCAGTACAGTGTACAGCAGTCTCACGGTTGTAGCGGCGTACGATAGTGGGAAGCAATTATTTAAGTATGCATTTGAAGCATTGGTATGATGATCGTATGTATTGCTGGTTAGTGGTAGGTAAAGAAAGCAGATTGCTGGCGAAGTCGTAAATCTTCATTTGTGGTGCTTGTTAGGGGTTCTTAGCCATCGCTTATTACTATTGTAGCTGCTACCTTGACGTGGTGGTCCAGCTTGGCTATCTTGATGACCCAACCGAGCTATATTGGCTGGAACATACGTTCCTGTAGGTTCTACCATACAAGGCAGGTCGATTGGCGAACGATGAGACTAAAAAGTAGCTACTTAAGGTCTGAGAGCGAACATGTACTGCTGACTGTAGAAAGGTGTGACAGCAGTAAGATGTTTCCCTTGGACATCCAGCATGTGCAGTGATACTGCCTTCTTACATGGAAGGAAGGGGTTAGAAAAGGTCGACCCTAAAAATGTCACACCTCTGCAATCACACTCCTATGTTGTTCAGACAGATGCTAACCCGCTTTCCTTTACAGGTTTCTCAAGAGTTACCCTTCCACGATGTGGGCAGCCGGTCACAATCAAATAATTTCTACACCCACGACCAACCCTTCTTCCGTTTCTTTGTCACTTCGCGCCGCTGATGCAAACGTTTGAGCTCACGAAACGTTATTCCTGGTCTCCTGAAACCCCGTTTTAAACTGGATGTTGGAGCTTTTAATGTTCGGACATTGTTTCAAATAGGGCAACAGGCTTCCTTAACTAGGACTCTGGAATCCCATGCCATCTATATATGCTCTCCCAGGATCTGAATAAAATCGTTGATTTGATTTCACCTTGTCCAGATTGAGAATCAACTAGGTTTACGCTTCGTGTATCTGGAAATCCTGCTGCTGATTCCTGTGGCCTCGCTGGGGTAGGTATATTATTATATCCTAGGACAGAACTATCTGTCTTAGACCGGATCCCAGTAGATACTCGCTTGTGCGCTGTCCGACTGAACGGGACAGTAAGGACTCGGAGAGATAAGGACACTCGCCGTTACCTCTTCGTTGTCTCTGTCTACGCTCAGACGAGATAAAAGATGAGTTTTGCAGAAACCTTTCTAACCTAACTCTGATATAGTAATAATGCTTGGTGACTCCAATGCTCAAGTAGGTAGACTAAGTGAAAAGGAAAGACCCTTAGGTGGGTCTTATGGTATCGTGGTTCAAAGATCAGATAATGGTGGCCGTCTGTTGCAACGGTGCTCATATAATCGCCTATTTCCGTACACTTATTGACATGGTGACCCCCAAAACCGACCCAACGATGAACCCAGCTAGATCATATTGCTGTCAGCCGTCGGTGAAGAATCAGGCCATGCTCTAGTGCCAGAACGTACTTGTTTGCAGCCTTGTGGACGTAGGAAAGACACCGCTAGGAAACCTCTTGAGGTCCTACCTATTGATAGCATAGCTAAGAAAATATTTCAGGAACAACTAGAGTAAGTTAGACAGCCATGTAGTAAGTGATGCTGACCGTGAGAAGAATAGTGTCATTGTTGCCTGTAATGCAGTTGACTTTGTATGCGCAAAATGTTATTATTTGGTAACATAGAATGACTTGCATGAACCACATAGTTTTACATACATACATATGATGTTTGGTGTCTGAAATCATGCTCGTCAAACATTAACCATAAAAGTCATTGTTTATCATTAACTTAATGTATGGTATCACTAATTTTTAAACCAGATCAGCTCAAATGTTGAAATTCCAGTGGCTTAACATTTACACCAAACATTACTTACATAGTAAAATTTGATCAGAAAACCCCAATTAGTAGTAAAAAGTGAATTTCCTATCACAAACGACTATAGTCTAGAATTCTAATCCTTATAATTTTATGTGGCTGTCTCGTGAAGTACCACTGATAGTTCGAAATTAACCACTTAGTAAGAATTGAATACCCAAAGACTGGGTTCATTTCTAAATTCTACCGCTTCTGTCACCGCATATTTCCATCTTTTTGAATATATTTTGATTAAAATGGAATTAAAAGCTTGATATTATCATAAGTAGTATGGTAACCGGTAGATTCACTTCTCAACTAAGAATATGCCGATGATATAGTTCTACTTAGTGATAACGCTGACAAAATGCAGTGTCCTGAACACCTTAAGCAACAATACAAGCACAATTGGGATGCGGTTTTCCCCATCCACTTGCGAAATGCTGCTGCAGGATTGGCTTGCGTCGGTGGTAGAAAGTGAAGTAGTTTAGCGTATTGACTGCATCAGTTTTCTTGGAGGTCTCATCAGTGCTAATGGTTTGGTGTCTGACGAAATCTCAGCGTGGATGCAAAAAGTTGGACTGCGCAGTACACTTGTCCTTGACGGACACCTCGCCTACGCCATTAGTGACGCAAGTTGGTAAAAGTATTCCTAACCTCTCTATCACCGACGCAAGCCAATCCTGCAGCAGCATTTCGCAGTTGGATGGGGAAAGCCGCATCCCAATCGTGCTTGTATTGTTGCTTAAGGTGTTCAGAACACTGCATTTTGTCAGCGTTATCACTAAGTAGAACTATTTCATCAGCATAGCATAATGCTACAAAGAATTTGATGTTGTACCAAAAGTTTTACTTGTGAGCCTTTCTTCATTCTACATGGTCACTTTTGAAAAGGCTTACACATGCATGACAATCATTAAATATACTTCTACTAGTAATAATTTCTTCTGAATCACTGACTTCCATCATAATGCATTGATTGTGCAAACACGTCAGAAACTAATTCTGGAACCTGGCCGAATATTGATAATAAATATAGCATATATTTGTAGTATCCTAATAAGTAGCAAAGTCAGTTTTTCTAAAGTTTCGTGACTCACTTCTTCCGAGGATAAATAAGCGAATTGAATTAACCCAAGTTTAAATAGTACATAGGTACAATTAAAGATATTTAGTACATTCAATCAGCCTTGGTGATGACACCTATAAACTAACCAGTTATTTTACAGATATATCATCTAACATGTTTACTAAACACTTGAGTGGCACGGTAGATTTTTCAGGATGACAGTCATGCCTTGACAATGTTATTACCTTTTACTTGTCTGACATGATTATCGTTTATGATTTTCATTTAGGGTTCTGAATGCAAAATCAACGTTATAGTTAACGGTGATACAGTTGTTGTTCAG